AACTCTTCACTGTGTTTCTGATGCCAGCTTACTTTTTGGCTGTGGGCCTCTTTCTCACAGAGATAGAATGAAGCATTGTAGCGGTGTCTCCTCCAGACAGTAATAAGGCTACCTATCCATTAAACTAATTAGCAAATCAAAGGCTGAAGCAAGTGGTTTTCTTGGTATGCACAAAAATTATTGTGATAAGTTGAAGATGAAGATGATAGGTAGCAGTATTCTTGCTCTCCAAAAAACCGACATCTTCACTGCTGCTTTTATCAGTCTTCTGCCTTGTCAGCATTATTAAAATACCTATGTGTCTGTTATCAAACAAGGGAGCACAGAGATGCTCTAGTCAACTTACATCCCCAACTTCTAGGCCTCTTGTACTTTGTTGCATGTAAAAACACTCTCTCTCTTTCTGTCTCTCTGTCTCTGTCTCTCTGTCTCTCTCTCTCTGTGTCACTCTCTCTCTCTCTCTTTCTCCCTTCCTCTCTTTCATTTTAAGAACTTATGCTCAGGTGTTTAGGGAATGGTTTATTCCAAAGTCTGAAAAGTCATCAGTATCAGAAGAGCTAATGAGCTATAGAGGAAAGCCTGGGCTGGGAGGCAATAAAAGTTGAGTTTTGGCCCTGGCTTTAATTTATTTCTCTCTAAGTCTCATTTTCCTGATCTTCAAAATGAGAGGGTTGGACTAGATAATTTGCAAAGTTTCTTCCAGCTCCAACATTAAATGATTGATTAAAGAAGTAATCTCTGATGACACTTTTACTGACGTGAGACGGGGACACAGCTTCCTCTAAACTCTCCCTAATGTTTGACTTTGAACAGAATTCTAGACATAAGCAACATTAAAAACTGTATCTTTAAAATTATAATGGGTTAAAACAGCTACATAGTCTCTACCTGATACTCCAGCTTTACCTTGAAATCTCTTCTACAATAACATCTCATAGTCTGAATAATTCTCTTGTCCAGAGGTCGGCTAAGTGAGCTAGTATTGGGAACAAGGAAAGAGTAAAACATATTCCCAGTCACTAACATGGTCTGCTTCATTAGGTCAGACTCTACAATGATCTAGTAACATAACAGCTTTTCTACGCTCTAGCAAGCCTATAAAAATGATCTTTAATTGATGATATAAAAGATGATAGGATATATAAAAATGGCATAATAAATATTAAAATTCATAAGTTAATAGTTGTAATATATTGGCATTAGTTTGTGCTCTGTAATCAAAAGGCAAAGCACCTGTATAAGACTTAGAGTGATGAAATTTCCCTATCACCACATAATTTATTTTGTGGTAACCTACAGCATTTGCACATGCAAAAATTCAACTTGCCCTTATTACTTTCAAGCCCAGGATGATTTGATTCATTGGCACTAAGAAACCACAGTTTGTTAGCCATGGGCCTTGGTCACATTCCTTTATTGCTATGTGCTGAAGACTTGTTTCTTCACAGTCAACATTTTAGTATGCTATTTTGATACTTTTTTATTTTGAATTCTTGTGGGATTAATCTATTCCAAATATATTCTAGAGGCCTAAAGAGGCCACAAGGTTGGTTTTCAAATGCCTATGGTTTACTGCACGTCTTTGATAGTTGGTGTTTTCTCTTAGATTGATAGCAAATATAGAGAGTTAATGTTTGGTTAAAATACTCCTATTTACTGAACCTGCTCCTTTAGAATGAGATCTATAACTGTCTAGCAATATAATAGCTCTATTATCCTTAGAAAATATCTGTGGAATGATTTTTCATTGGTGGTCCCAGAAAGATGACAGATCAAAAGACTGTATTATTACGATTTTTAAAAAATGATTTTGTTTGCTTTATATTTTAGAAAAAAATCATCTTGGGTAATACAGTAGCTCCAATCAAAGAGTGAGATCATGTCCTCAGAGCCTAGCATTAAGTTCGGGTGAGACCAACAGTTTTGGAGTTCTGAACTTGCAGATGTGTCCAAATAGCTGACCAAAGGTAGGGCCAGCAAGTAAACCAAGCTCCAGGAGCTAGTCTATAATTGGGCTAAGTAGATGCCAAATTAGGGTCTGGAGCCTAGAAAATCCAGGAAGACAATAATCAGACCATGCTTTAGATAAAACCACTTAAGGCCTATAAAAAACATATACCTCCCTGACCCAAGCTGCCCCTGTGGTCTTTAGAGAATACAACATTCAGTACCCAGAGAAGGCAATAGCAGGACTCCAGACAACAAACCAGGACCATACAAGGCTTTGCCATTCCCTCCAAAAATTCAAGGAAGCTGCCCCTAACACAAAGTGCCAATCTGGGGAAAATAGGAGAAGAATTAGTCAACAAATCAATTTTAAAAAGAGACTAATTATAATGAACTATTATGATATCAGGGACATTTTAGACACAAATTCAGAATAGGATAAAAACTTCAAAACATCTACAAGCAAAGCCTCAAAGTAAAATAAAGCTTGGCCACAAGGTCAATTAGTATTCCTAAGGAAAATGAATCAAAAGGGTTTTTTTTATTTAAAATGGTGTTATAGATGAAATGACAGTGCTAGAATAAAGAATTTGAAAAGAAATCAGAACTATGGAAGAAAAATTTGGAATGAGACTTATCAGCAAAACTTTTCTTAAATTTATCATTTACCAGTACAAGAGATATAAACCCTTACCTAAGCAGCAGACTCAGAAAATTAGAATGCATCAAATGGAATTTGATGAGACAGGACAATTTTTAAAAGTCAAAAGATTGAGAAAAGAAAAAAATTTAAGCTCTCTCTTATCAAAAATAACTAACCTAGAAAAAAATACAACTTAAAAACCACTGGACTCCCTGAAAACCATTACCAATTTTCTTTTCAAAATAGTCTAGATATATTGCCACACATCATGAAAGAAAACTTTCTAGACATAGAACAAGAGGGTAAAGAGATAATAAAAGGAATCTAGAGTGAATAAGAAAAAAATGCCCCAAAATAGCCTAATACAATTCTGAATCTTACTACTGGGAGCAAGAGGTTGTGGATTAATCTATATACTTCCTTAGATTTGAGCTTAAGTCTAGCTCAGGAGGTAAGACTGACACAGCTTTTTTCAGTTAAATATTTTGATACCATGATGGATCTGGGATCTCAGTGATGTAGCTACTCCTTTGAACAGGCCAGATTATAGCCCATCCATACCTGCCTATCTTATGAAACTCTTATCCATATCCTCATATAAATCCATCATAGTCTGCTCAACATAGTAGAGATTTTCCTTTAGATTTCTTGACACTATGTGGATACCAGTAAAGCACAAAGGCTGTCAACCAATGAATAAATCATGCATTTATTAAGTACCTTTTATGTAACAAACACTGGGCTCAGTGCTGAGGAACCAAAGATAAAATTTAATTTATATATAAAATGTATATATACATATATATATACATACATACACACAAACACACACACACACACACACACACACATACACACATTTATATATACATCCAATATCTCCTAAGGTCAAGCCAGCCATCAACCTCAGCCTCCTCAGTGGCAGGAATTATAGGAGTGTACCACCATGTACAGCTAGCAATTTTTAAAAGAAGAAACATTATTTATCAATAACTATATGAGAGAATCCTCCAAATCATTAATAATAAAAGAAATACAAATTAATACACCTTTGAGTTTTCACTTCATACCAATTAGACTATCAAATACAACCAAAAATGAAAATAATAAGTGTTGGAGGGGTTCTGGAAATACAAGTGCACTAATTAACTGTTGAAAGAGGCATTCCTGGGGTGGGTGGAGTGCAGATTATACTACAAAAGTCACTAAATTGTGCATCCACATTGACCCAATAATACAGTTATTGGGCATATGCCCCAAGGAAGTCAAAGGCAAGTGGGAAAGTCTAATATCTGCCCAAAAAATAGCAGCACTTTTTATAAGAGCCCATAACTTAAAGTGGATGCCCATCTATTAAGGAATGGCTGAATAAACCATGCTACATAATGAATTTTTTTTAATGACAAATATGAATAATTCAGAGAAACCTGGAAAATTTTGCATGAACTGATATAGAGTTGCATAAACAAAATGAGGAATACAATCAAAACAGTGACCACAGTAATGTAAGTAATACAGCATTGAGAAACATCAGAACTCTGATCAATACAGGAGCCAATCTTGATTGCAGAGTGACATTGAGATAGGATTTCCCTTTTTTGGCAGAAAGTCAGTGGGATATTGCTGTCAAATGAGGCACGCTTGTCAGGCATGGCTAGTATACTGGTTTGCTTTGCTCAGTTTTGCTTCTTCATTATCAGGGACAGTTTTATTGAGGATGAGAAGGCTAATGGCAGTAATATAAGAAAAAAACGTATCGATAAAACACTAATTTAAAAAATTCATTTTCCCTTCATTTTTTCACCTTAAAGCTTCAGTGGTTAAAATAATCATATACATTTTTTTCTCATCCTCTTGGACAGAAGGATATCAAAACAATATAGATTTTGGTTGGAGTGAAGATCTGAAATTACAAATTCATTGCATATAGATATAGACTTCAATGAATAACAATTGGCCATTAAATGAAATCTGGCCAGAATGAAGATTTTGTTTGAATTAATTAAAATATATCTTGAAATTCCATAGCTAAATCACTGAGGAAGTCAGGTTTTCTCCTCAAATCTAGTTTTGGACATAGCGTGATGTCATGGAAAGGTCACTGGACTTGGGGTTGGGAAATGTGGATTCCAACGTGGTATCAATATGTGCTATATGACCACAGATAAATTGTGTAACCTCTGTAAGCTTCCTTTCCACATCTACAGAATTGGGAGAAGCTAATGATCATTGTGCTAGTTATCTCGGAAGTTATGAAGAACATGTATTTTCATTTCTTAAAGTACCATGTAAATGTATCATTAGTTTCTTTTCTAAAATCTATATCACAAAGAACAAATTAAAATCTATACCCTAAAGAATAATCTATATCATTCCATGAATCAGTCTCAAAATTCAGTCAAATACTTACCCTTGAGAAAGCAGAATTGGGAGAACCTAAAAAGAAAAAGCATATGCAAGATGTTATTTTTATTCTGTCTATAAAACAATGGAATTTATTGAAAATGTGCAATGTACTAACACTATGCTAAGCATTACAGGAATTACATAGGAAATATGTCAGCCTTTGCTCCCACAAGGAACTACTAATCTCATTGAGTAGCTCATACTTTAGTACATGATATCATTGACAGAAAATGTCAGGTGAATTGATAAAAACATTATGGTGTTTATGTACAGTAACATGAATAAACAGAAGTCTATTGTACACTAAAAAGGGACGAGTACGAGGAATTCAGAGAAATATGAGCCCTGTATGAGCTGAAATTGAATGCAAAAAACAGAACCAGAAAGTACAATGCATACAATGACTGCAGTGTAAATGGAAAGATCACTAAAAAGAAATCCAAATTCTGAGTATTTGTAAAACCATTAAAAATGGTGATTGCAGGAAATTGATAACGAAATGTACCTCCCTCCTCAGACTAGAGAGGAAGAAGAACTACCAAGATAGAGAGCTGTACATGCAGTCATTATATGGTATTTTTGCTTAGCTATGTTTATATATCACAAGAGAGAACTCCCTGGAGGGGGAGAGGGGACAGTTTCCAGAAATGACTGAGTTATAAGGACAAAAAGCATCAACAACTTTTTTTAAGAAAAATGCCACTTTGTAAGTTCATGACAATATCAAAAGCATGTGACTGTAAAAGTCAGGAAAATCACTGAAGATCATAGATTTGAAGTTTAAAGGGACCTCATGGGCCAAAGGCCTATCTATCTCTTCCTTCTATAGATGAACAAAAAGCATTAGCCAGGGTAAGCAATCTGCCCAAGATCTCCCAGGTGGTCAATAGCAGAGTTAGAATTCAAGCCTGGCTCCTATAGCTCCAATTCAGGTACTTTTTCTATAATACCACGATGGGGCAAAAGTAAAATCATCAACAAGATTCTTCAAGAGGCCACAGATTATTTCATCAGCTATTAGCAGATTTGGAAGGGGAGGAAATTCAGGAGAAATAGGTTAGGGAGGGAGGAGAAGGAGAAGTGCAATGGAGAGAGAGAAATTACCTTGATTTCTGAATTAACTTTAAATCACATATGCCCAAGTGGGAGCTGTACAAGTAACAGTAATGTGAGACAGAAATGGGAAAAACTCAGCTCTCATCCTTTAAGTAGCACTTTAACAAATAAAATTGAGAAGCAAACTTTATAAAAAGAGAATGACCCTTAATAGAGTCTAATACAGTAGATCCATTACATTGGAGATGAAACTATTACAGAACTTTTCTTCCATATGTTTTGAGACATTATCAGATGAGCCTTTTGGAAATAATAAGCCAATCCGAGAACTTGCAACTATTGATATACTATTTCCTTTTCCATCAATAATAACACATAATGCCACTTTCTACAAGTAGTTCTTTCTTCATTTTCCAGCAAAACGTTTTCTCAAAGGTATTTTGTAAAAATTGAATTTCTATATAAAATGATCATTAGTTCGGAGTTGTGTCAGAATGACGAGATCAGGGAAACCTGGTATTGATTAAGCTAAGGATTGAAAAGTTTACATAGGCCCCTCCTCAATTGTGTGATCTTAAGCAAATCACTTAACCTTTCTAAGGCCTCAATTACTTTATTTCTTCCAGCTCTAAAATTCTAGGATTTTATGAATCTGTGATCTCAAAACTCAGAAATAATAGTCCTGACAGTGATAATAAATTCATATTTAGATAGTGTAGAGTTTTAAACTCTACAGAGTCTTTTCTTTACAACCCCATGAGATAGTAGAGAAAATATTCTGCCTATTTTATAGTTGAGAAAATGAAGACTGAGGAAAGTTAAGTGACTTTCCCAAGATTACATAGCTGGACATTGAGGGGCTTGCCCTTGAGGAGAAATTTAAATTAAACTTAACTTTTTAAAATGTGATTATTCCTTTAAAAGTTGCTAAACATAGTCTGGAGAAAAACCTATTGGCTTCCAACAATACTAAAAGGACTTTGGCCAACACAGATTTCTGCTCGGGCTGTCCCTCAATCCTGGAATACATTTCCTCCTCTTAGAAGCCAGGGGCCTAAGAGGCCCATAGGACTCAGCTGCTTTGCTTTCTCCTACAGGAAGCCTTTCCTGATTACCTGTGCGGTCCTTTCCCTCCCCACCACCTAGACTATAAGCAACCCCCCCCCCCGGGGCAAGAACTTTTCTTTTCCCATTTTATTTCGCATGGTCTTTGGATCCCTGACACCAACACATTTTTGACCCTTACACGCGCTAATTAAACTTTACTGGTCTGGAATGGACTGAAAAACAAATAGGGGCTGAGTAAAAGTAGTGTGAGGATTAAAGGAAGGGATGCATATAAAGTACTATATAAATGCTAATTTTATTATCTGCCCCCTTTCCTTGAGGAAAGGGCAGAAATGGAGTTACTGGCAGATTACAAATCATACCTCTATAGACTTAGAGTTGGAAAGGGCTTTGGAGGTCATCTAGTCCAAACGCCTCATTTTAAAGATGAGGAAACTGAGGGCTAGACAAAGTAAGTGATTTACACAAGGTAACATACTGAGGAAGTAAAAGAAAAAGGATTCAAAGTCATGGCTCATGAATCCAAGGTCAGAGCTCTTTCCCCTATATCAAAACCCCACTACTATTCATTGGTTGGGAGAATGGTAAACAGGGATCAGAAGAAAAATAGGGCAAAGTAAAGGTCAAAGAGAAGAATGAAAGCAAAAAATGAAGAGAACAGATGTGGAAGGACATAGAAGCTGGGATGATGTAAAGCAATGAGATATTGGGGTTGACAGTAGGATAAGAATCAAAGAGGACATTGCTAAACATTATATTCTAGATTCTAAGGAAACTGCTGAGTAAACAGTCCTATTTTCTGCAAGGAAAGTTGCCCCCAGAGATGAGCTTCTTCAGCTACATAACTATCCTTACATATCAATCAACAAGGTTTTATTAAGCAGTTACTATGTACCAGGCATGGTGTTAAGTGCTAAGGGTAGAAAGAAAAAGTGAAAACAACCCCACCCTCAAAGAACTTACAATCTAATGGGGGAGACAATCTATAAGAAAATGGCGAGTAAACAGAAAGTAAAACCTTAGAGAGGATAGCACTAGCAGTAAGGAAGACTACAAAAACTTCCAGGAAGAAGTAGGACTTGAGTGAAATCTCAAAGGAAGCCTGAGAGTTGGAGAGGACAGTCCAGGGATAGGATGCAGTCAATGCAAAGGCAAAGGGAGGTGAGATAGATGTCCTGTTCCGGGAACAACAAGTTGACCAATATGGAAGAAGAGAATAGAACGTAAGAAGAATGGTAAGGTAATGTTCCAGGTAGTGATACTGGCCTACTCAGAGCCTAAGGAGTAACATTAGCAATTTCTTTAATAAAAAACATATGCCATGACCCCCAGGTAAAAATAGTCCACAAAGAGATAAAAGCAGTTTGCAATCCATTTCCCTGGGGTTTCAGAAATTCATCCTATAGCCTATGGTCTTTACATACACTTTGCCCAAAGGACCCATAGCTGGGTCTCAGGTCCCAGGTCAATCCATCAAAGGACTATGGAGGAAATGGGCAAAACCACCAGATCATACAGGTATGATCTAAATAACATCCTTTATGAATATGAAGTGGAAGTGATGAATAGATTTAAGGGATTTGATCTGGTAGACAATGCCTGAAGAACAGAAGTTCACAATATTGTACATCAGGCAACAACAAACAAAATTTTAAAGAAAAAGAACAGCAAGAAAGTAAAATGGCTGTCTGATAAGGCTTTACAAATAGCTGAGGGAAGCAGGAAAGGGAAAGGGAAAGGAGAAAGAGAAAAATATACCCAACTGAATACAGAATTCCAGAGAACAGCAAGGCGAGATAAGGTTTTCTTAAATGAGCAATGCAAAGAAATAGAAGGAAACAATAGAATGGGAAAGACAAGAGGTATCTTCAAGAAAATTAGAGATAACAAGAGAACATTTCATGCAAAAATGGATGTGATGAGACAAAAATAGTAGAGACTTAACAGAAGCAGAAGAAATTAAGAAGAGGTGGCAAGAATATGCAAAAGAATGATACAAGAAAGACCAAAAACCACAATGGTATGATTACTGATCTAGAGCCAGATATTGTAGAAAATGAAAAGTCCAGGTTGTAAAAAGTTTTAAAGGTCAAAGGACTTAATATTTGATCCTGGGGGGTAATCAGTACCCACTATTTTTGGGCAAGGAAGTGACATGGTCAGACTTACACTTTAGAAAAATTGCTTTGGTAGATGAGTGAAGGGTGAATTGGAATGGGGAGATACTTGAGGAAGGAAAATCTATTAGAAAGCTATTACAGTAGTTCATTTCAGAGGTGATAAGGGCCCAAAATAGGGTTGTGGCTGTGTAAGTTAAAGAAAAGGGATATACTGAGAAATGTTGTTGAGAATGAAATAAACATATTGAAGGTGTTTTTTTCATAGTTGGTTAGAAAGCCCATATCTAGGATGACAGCCTCTAATTAACCTAATGATAGCCACTAACTAGATATAATAACTAGAAAAACAAAAAGACCTTGTTGGCCTCAGACTCCTAACTCTATAAAAGAAGGCTAATAAGCTAGAGGATCTTTAATGTCCTTTTCAGTTTTAAATCCTATGATTATATCTGAATACCTCAAAGATTCTAGATCAATATTTAACTTAACTTCAACATTTCTGAGTAAAGCCATTGGGAAGGATTAGTAACTACCCAAATCTATAAAGTAAGGATCAAAAAGTAAATGCTTAAGAAACTTTACAACTAGTCTAAGGGAATGTATTTATTAGGCCATCCCTAGGAATCTCACCATGGATATTCATGAGGTAGTTAGCCTTGATGCCAACATAATCTACTTTCTATGGCCCCATTGCTCCCCCAGAGTTTCTGAGCAACAGAATATAATTAAGGCTCCATTAAACAAAGTTCTTGTTTTTTGGGGATTTGTTTTTGGTTTTGTTTTTTTCAAATTAACTCCAGGACTACTTACCTGACAACTTGGAACCTTCCATCCAAAGTTTTTGTAAAGCAACAGCCTTCTCCATTGTTTTTGAAATGCCTTGGGCAAGCTCCTGAATATCTTCCAGAAAAACCAAATCAGTCCCCATGCCCTGATGGTCTTGAGAATTTGGGGACCTGAAGATGCTTCAAATAAACATCAAAAAAGGAACTCGTCACAAAACTGAAAATGTGAAATACCAAAATGCATCTCCTGTGCCAAGTTAGTTCAATTTCATAAACATTTATTAAGTATATTTACAGCCCAATCTGTCTTTCAACCTGCCCTCTGCCCTTGAAGTCTCTCTCTGAGTGAATGGCACCTCCATTTAAGGTCATGCAGGCCAGCCATGTCTCCTTCCTCTCCAACCTCATGCTGTTATTTCTCGACCATGGCCCAGCTCTTCCTTCTGAAGCTTCACTCTGGCCGTAGGATTCACACACTGGATCTATCCTCCATTCCAGTGGCCTCTCTCTCTGATTGAATGGCTTCACCCAAAACTTCCACTTAAGGAAAGCACGTAGGTCAGTCACATGTCTATTATTCCTCTCCAGACCTCCTCTCCTGGCCTTTCTCTACCATGACCCTCTACCAGTCCCTTTGTCACCCCTCCGATGTGGTTTAAGGGGTTCAGGGACCCCTCAAGGACTGAAGTACAAGACAGGGTCATCTGGAATGAATTCACGGACTCAAACAATCTTTAAGTCAAGTTGGCAAAAGTTTATTTTGATGCTATTTAGCGGGCAAAAGTTCTTAAGGAGCCTGCGAACTTAGAGGGGTACAGTTAAAGTTTATATAGGAAAAACCATAGTAAAACATGTGCAAAGTATGCTAACTAGATGATTCAGGGTGGGATTAGGGAGTGGTTAAGGAGTAGTCAGTTCTTAAAGGAACATGCATTTTTTACATCTACTGCACAGGCATCTTACCCAGAGTTCACCAGGAAAAGCCTGGGGTGGGGGAGTGGGGAGAGTGCCATAGGGAGCCCACAGAGAAGTGTGGTTTTAGGTCTGCTATGTCACTAAGGTAACTAGTGGTCAGGGCTGACTGGGAATTGTACAGTCTGCCACCATCAATGTCTTATTTGACAAGATAGATGTAGGGAGCCTAGGATACACATAATGAGGAGTCCAGGATGCATATAATGAGCTAGAGAGTTGGTATAGATAGTCCAGTGGGTACTGAATATCTTTATGAGCCAGTACAAAGCCAGTTCAAACTAATAATTCCTACAGGTGCAGTTTGTTACTGCACCAGGGAGAGAGATAAGTGTTTTGCTGGGGCCCACTCATGAGTAATTGCTAGGCATAGTGTCCTTGGGCTGGGGAGAAACTGCTTGAGATAGTGTTTTTGAGGCTAGGGAGAAATATGGTCTTGGAATTGGGGTCCAAGCACAGGCATCCAAGCGCCTCATCACCTACCTACCTACCTATACACACACACACACACACACACACACACACACACACACACACACACACACTCTCCAGGTTCTTTTTATATGTTTTATTCCTCCACTAGAATGTAAGCTCCTTTAAGACAGGGCTGTCCTTATTTATACTTGAATTTATATTCTTAGCTCTTAGCACAGTATCTGGCACATATTGATTGCTTAACAGTCAACAAAAGGACCCCGATTGCCTCAACGGGGAAAAAAACTCACAACGTCTAAATATGAACATCCTGGCTTTGCTACTAGAAGTTTAGGAGACTCTCCTTGGCTATCCCACTCCACCTTAAAAGCCCTCCCCTTCTCCACTAAACAACTTCAAGTAGTCTTCATTTAAAAACAAAAAATAAAGCAAAGGAAAAAACATCCTGGAGATTGTGCCCAAAAAGCTTCTGCTAAAAAGAATAGGATTTTAGTCGTCAAAGACCTGGGATGTCAATTGTTGTTTTTCTTCTTCTAAATAATGAGCTCCCCTGCTAGTATTTCTCCCCTCCAGATCAGCATTTGCTAACAGATGTCGCTTGGAATTGGGGATTTTAGACTAGAATCAGGAAGCTGTAGAGTTGTAATGAGTTAGAAAAAATGAAGGAATATTGACTCAACTCCACATCCTTTGACCCAGAAATCCCACTACTAGACATGTGCCCCAAGAAAGTCAAAGAAAGAAACAAAGGTCCGAAATATATCTAAATATTAATAGCAATCCCTCTTGTAGCAAAAAAGAACTGGAAACAAAGTTAATAACCATCCATTGGTGACAGAGACAGGGAGAAACAAGAATGGAGCCAGAATTAACATAGGAGAGACGCTAACATAATACAAGGAAAGGGGGATATTTCCTTCCATCCCAAGAAGACCCTTTGGCCATCCTCAAGAGCTGCCAATCCCCCAGGATCCCAGTCCTGACTTCCCAATAGGGAATACTGATCTTGGGATGCCGCCTAGTCTGGGGACCCACACCACAGAGTACAAGGGGGGTCAGCACATATTGAAGGCAATATATGCTGACTAATGTCATCTCGCGTTGAAGTCAATCCAAATCTTCCTATTTTCCTCTTCCTTTCCTTGCCATTGTGCCCTCTGAAACCATCTTCTATCATTAACAAACTCCTTTTTGCCCTAGATCCTGTCCCCTCACATTCCTTTTATCATCTAGAACACAAAATTTCTCTGGAAAAAGCTATATTCCTTTGTACATTCTCCTAGGCTGGTAGTTGCCTTCTCTCGTGTACTCTAATACAAAGGGTCAGGAGGGGCAGTTGGCATACTCTGTTCCCCATCGCTACTTGCAGACCTTTGAGACTCTATCACCGTTGCTCAATAGCCACTTCTTCTTTAAAGTACATTCCATCTTTGTTGCTGTTAGAAATAGGCTTGACACCAAAACTTTAGTATCGAGAAAATCTGTTATAAAGAAAGTCCAGAGGATTTAGACGTTTCTGGCCAGAAGCGGGCTCCACCCCTCTTCAGGACGGGTGGGCCCTGAGTGCAAGGGAAAGTGTGCTTTTATGCAGTTGAATTCGGGGGGCGAAACCTCCCAGGCCAGCATTGGTCCAACCCTTCCCAGGTTACACCTTTCCTTACATGTTCCCCCTCCCTTGGTCATACGTCCCATGACTCGTTAATGAGGCTCTAATTGTATGCGGGGTGTGTCAGGTAATAGTAATGAACTTCATTAAGCAGGCCCACTAACATTTTTCAGGTGTCCTCAGGTTGACCCTAACTGGTCTGAGCTGGCTCGAGCCCTATCTTGATTTTGGGGTCTTCTTGGAACAATCCACTTACTTCCTATTGGTCAAGCCCAGCCCACCTACAGTGTACCACCTCCTGGGACCTTTGTTCCTTAAATCTCTGCATTATTCTACCTGTGGAAACTTAAGCCCTTCTAACTCTTAACAATTCCCTCCTCTTCTTCTCAATAAGAATTATGTTTCCACACTTTTTGTTCCTGTTGTCTTTCCTCAAAGCATTTAACATTAGTTCATTCTTCATCAGAGGAGAGGAATGATCATTAACTCTCTCAATCATCATCCTACTCCACCTGATCCTGTTACCTGAATTCCATAGCTGGTCCTATTGGGATACTTTTAGTTAGTGCTGTTTCTATTAATTTTTGCACTAGTCCTCTGATACAAGGGTTGATGCACACCTTACTGCAGTTAAAACTCCCGCAGCTAGGTTAGAGAGGTGATGATGATGGATGCCAGACCAGGATTCTAACCATCACTTTAATCAGTTATCTATCCCAGAATTCTCTGCCAACTCCTCAGCTAAAGTGGTTAAACCTTGCAATGCCTTAGTGATGGTTCTACCTGGGACTGTGCTGCTGGGCAACATTTCATCAAGGGATTTTGGGGACTTAAAACAATATGAGAGAAGGAAGGAAAGAGTTGACCGACGCATTGACAAATTATAAAGGGGGCAGTCCCCTTATTAAGTACAGATACAGAGACCCAAAAGTAATGATAAATTGTCCATTTAAAGCTTCAGAAGTCTCTTCTCATACCGCTGTCTGACACTCTCGACATCATCCGGTGAAGTCTTCTTGTCTAAGTGCTGTTCAAACAGTGTCCAGCAGACTCTCCTCCTGCAGAGATCCTTCTTCTTGTATCCACTCTCCTACAAGATTGATCTCAACACAATTTTAAATTACCTTGCCAATAACCAGGGCAAATAATGAAAATTAACTCAACCCCTATGTCTTCACCATTACAAGATCAAAATTGGAACTTTGTCCAATTGTCATGTTTCAAGACACTCAAATTTAAAAAAAATTAGAACCTAGCCTTACATTCTGCATTACGCATTATTTCATTATTCATTCCTATTCATATTCCTCATCAGGAGGATGAGATTCCACTAAGGAATTAATAACACACTCCAATACATAGTAGTTAATTTAAAACCAGTACATATCAAATAACTAAACAATCCCAACTTCTAGTCACGTACAAATATCCTTAATTAAAGTAGATGCTTCTTTCAAGGCATTTACAAGATGAGCCATAAGCTATTCCTCTTTTAACATTAATTGTAACAAACTGAGATAACTTTAACATTAACTAAGTATTAACTAAATAACAGAATAATATCCTTGTTCCACAATCTCCTGGCCTAATTATCCCCTAATGATGGGGTAAGGGTCCAAGTCGACCCCTGCCCCTTGACCCAGAAAGAATGTGGCTCTCCTTTGTCTAAGGGCCCCAGCTCCCCATCTTCCTTTGAAAGCCCTGGTCCCACTTCTTGATCTTATTCAGATGCCTTTCAAACCTCCTCCCTCCAGTTCCCTTCATTATCTGTTCCCGTTGTCTATTCAATCTCTCAGACATTCCAATCAGAATTCTCTCCTAGACCATTTTCCCAGCCCTTCCTCTGGTCACTCAAAGTTACTTTAGTGAATGTAAGATCCACCCTGACCCTATATAAAATGCAGACTTTCTCACGACTGCTCCTCCTTATGGGGGTCACCTGGACCATATGGTTTACCTCCAACAAACTTCCCCCCTGGCTGAAAGACCTGGGCTGAACTTCTTCAGGAGGTACCGTTGTGCTGTGACCTTAGAGTCCCAGCACCTCCAGACCTCATCATAACCATTATGAGAAATTAAAGGATCCTGACTTATACAGGAATATACTTAATTCTGAAATT